CCTTGTGAGATAATTGTTGGATTGTAGTCTGAGAATAAGGGAGAAAAACAACTTTTTTCATCTTAGAGTAAATTTTTTCAACTAGGAGTAAACAGTTGTTTCAGTGCAGAGTGTAATGCATGAACCTCGCTATCAAAGATTATTCCGTGTTTCCTGCAGATCCATAGAAAAAAAAAATCTGAAAACGATATTTGGACATTGATTATTTCAACAATTCTCAATTTTGAAAATTGACTAATTTTACAAACTTGTTATTCTTTTCTTTCTTTTTCAAAATAACATTCAAAAATTTCTAATTTCAATTTAAATCATGGAACTTAAGTTTAAAGGAGATTTCATGATGTTGATTAGCATGTTATACAGATTCGTGAAATTAAAGTGAAGTTGAATGTATTTCTGTAAATTTTTAATAGTAATACATTTTGCTTTGTTTTCTCATTTAGTAATATTTCATAATTTAACTATTTTCTTGTTCTGGGTAATAATTTGAAGTGGAAAGTCTATTTTTTTACACTGCAATCTATGATTATTTGTAAGGATGTGGTTTTAATTTTTCTTATACTTCAATCTATCATACAATATCCAAGAGGTATGGATTCGAGTAATATTTTTCTTTATATTTTAATTTATGATGTTTAGTAAGGATGGAGTTTTCTTCAGTTTGTGATAATTAATTTCCATGAAATTTTCCATTGTTTTTTCTTTTGTCTATTATACTAAAAAAATTTATTTTTTAATATTTTAATAATTCTATATTTGATTCCTAATTAAGATCGAAGTTTTCAGTCTTTGATGCTTAATTCTGATGGAATTTCAGCATTTTTATACTTTTTAATGGTGTTTAATGAGGATAGAATTTAAATTTTTTCTAATTTAATTTATGATCATAAGCAAAAATAAAGTTTTAACGAATTTCCTCTTCAATTTATGATATTTAATAAGAATGGATTAACTAGCTTTTTAATAAAACTGAAGATGATCAGTGAGAATTAAGATTTTTGTTTATCATCTATACATGAGGATGGGCTTTTGATCTTTTTTTATATATTTCAATCTACAGTATTTCTCATGAATGCAATTTTATTTTTTTTAAATTATTTAACTCATAGTGATTAAATGAGGAGGAAATATTATTTAAATTTAATGAAGTATTTTATAATACCTTTTTAAAATGTTTAAGACGGATGAAATAATTATTATTATTATTTGTCAGTGAGACTCTTCCCTCAAAATCACGTTGATATTCTCAGGTTTATTTTTTTCCTTTCTCCAGCTCCAGATGACTTAAGTTAGTTTCATTAATCAATAAATAATAAACATTAATTCACTAATTTAAATTAAATAAATATTTTCAGCACTATTCCTCACAACTTGTAATAAGTAAGTTTAAGTAATCAGCATTTAAACAAACTGTCTTCCCCATTATAGTTATAAACCTTCCCCAAAGCGAGTTTATTCCAGAATCATTGCTTCTAAATATTATTTTCACTCACGGAGTAATGTTTTTCCCGTTAGAGGGCATACATGTCGAGAAATAGTTGACTAGAGTGTAAGTTATTTAGCCTTTTTTACAACATTAAATTTAAATTTAAAATAGTGTATTTTATAAAAGTCAGCAATTGTTTCGTACGTATTAACAAACGGGAAATATGTTTAAATAGGAAATATGTTCTTTTACAATAATAAAAATGATGATATAGAAAAATAATTGATACATCATGTTTGTAACAATTATGCAGTTGCTAAACCTCTGATATTTACTGCTTCTTGTAACTCATTTTAATGTTTCAACATTTTTAAAAATCGAGGGGAATATAACGTTGAATCTTGCTGATGTTCTACTTTTTTATATTTTCTTTAAATTTTATAATTCAAAAGCTGTAAATATATTGATATCATGATTTCCATGCAATAAACACTCCATTTGCAGTTGATATTCATATAAGTAGTAAATTAAATAGTCAATTTATTAAGAAAACTTCCAAAATGCCTCAATAATCCATCTTTAAATATATAAAAGTATATAGTTTGTCCGGGTGTGTATTTTCTAATGACTCGAAAACGAGAGCTCCAATTTGTATCCTGTTTCTTTCGGCAGTTTGCTTTCGATGAGAGATCTGCAGACAATCATATTTTTCAGGTGTTATGTGGTTCGGGAACAGTATTGAAAATACAAAATTTCAGTGATGAAAAATTATTTTTATAGAATAAAGTGTACACTGTCAGGGAAACAGCATTTTTAAATAATATTTAAAAAATAAAAGCAGACAAAACTACTTGAAAAATTAAATGTCCTTAATGCTTGCTAAACTCATAGTTTAAGTGTAAGAAATAAAGTGGGGTAGAAACAAATATGTAGACTAACATAAGTTATAGAAAATTGAAGAAACACTACAATTTACCGTTAATGGTAAATCTAATCATAAATATGCCTTTCCTTAATTTTGCGTACAAATTTTCAAATTCAAGGAGTTTCAATATATTAAATTCTAATACTGAAACGTTTTAATACCAGCTATTAATAATAATAATTCATTTTGACACATTTTTCTATCATGAATTTTATATTTACTATCTTTATATTACTATCCTTTCTAGATGAAAATATCATAAATTATCTTACTATATATAAAAATCATATCATGGTGTCGCCGTTTTAAATTGTTGTTAATACATTTTTATTGGTTGGAAAATCACATCGTAGGATCCAGTTTTCTCACATTATATTTCATATTAGTTTGGTTGTTTTCTGTATAAAATTTATATAAATTATAAAGTTAATGTTTCCCTATAAATATTTTTGTTTCCCTTACTTAAAGGTCAAAATTACTTTCACTGTTATTATCACGTTTCTGATTTTGTTTTATTTCTAAATTAAGAGTTTAGGAGGATTGTGTTTATTATAATTATAATAATGTAATTCTACGTTACATTTTAAGATAAAGTTATTTAAATCGGTGTCTGACCTTATTAAACGTTTTGAAATTATTATTTTTTGGTGCAAATTACATTGATATATTAGTATAAATTACGGTTTAAGATATACGATAAGGGATTTAGATTTTAACTTCAAGATTCATGCATAAAGTGAAGAATACAAAAATTTTATTTAAAATATGTATCCGTCCGTTTGGTAAGCAAAAATATTAAATTACAGTAGCGAACTTACCAAATTTGTTATAGCGAACTTACCAAATATGCTTTTAAATGTTATTTCAAAAAATGATTGCTTAAAAAAATGATTTATGTTTACTAATGGATCTCAATAATATCATAAGTGAAATAATTGGACAAGTAAAGTGTCGGCACAAGTGCTCTTTTCAGTACATAGATTTTTAGTTGAATAATTTCAACTGTTTTTTGCCAATAAACATCAATTATTAGCGACGCAATCATTGGAGTTGGTGAGCGTCAGCAAACAGGGGCATTAAAATAAAATCCGTTATTGGCACTATGATGCCAAGTTCGCCAACTAGTAGAACAACTCTAGATTCTGATTTACACAGGTCACCGGTTACCAATAATATACACACAGGTTCATCGAATAAGATAATATCGTGAATATTATACAAAGCAATAATTATTAAATACGATATTGTGAATGTTGCTAAACTTTATTTGAGTAACTAAAATATTGACATCAATGTAGAAATGAGTTTAATTGAGAAAATATCGCGATATATTTTTGATAACGCATTGTGATGCATGCATTGGCATGGATACTTGTGTGGATGACAACTCGAAAAATCAGTGACTAAATCACGGTTCTTGTAACAAATAAGTAGAAGATGATAGGTTGGGTATCAATAGATGCCACAAACGTACATAAATTATATATTTCATTTCGCAGTACACACATTTACGACTTAACTTTTGGGTCTCAATATGAAAAAAATTAAAGTTTTTATTAGCAAAATTCTTTCGTCCTGGCTTAAAAAAAAAAAAAAAAACTGGTTTGCAATCTAAGTCCATTTTATTTACAAATTAAACGGGACAAATAAACGTAAAGATCGATTTATCTTTTTAACGTCATTTACATATATCAATACTTTGCAATCAATATCAATACTTTGCTATCAATACAATAATCATTTACTTTGTAATTATGTCTTTTAGTTCTTGAATGGTGCCATTAAGCTACATTATTATTATTATTTTTTGCTCTAATAAGTATTTTAACTGTTTTAGATCTATGTATTCTGTCTACTTAAAAACATAAATAATGTTTAAACTTCGTTTCGTTTTAGCTAGAAGTTCCTTACAAATGAAACTTAGCATGATGTATGAGGAGGAGAAATTTTGATGGAAATTGAAGTATTTAACAATATTTAAAACCCAAACGCAATTGTATCCGATTATATAAATGAGATAACGGGAAACGTTTTGCTTTACTATAACGAAATAAACAGCGTATGAAGCACTTATAAAAATTAAAATGACAAAATATTTGTTTTGGGACAACAAATTTATTATAAAGAAATTAAATTAAATTAAATTATTGATTATAAAGAAGAAATATATTTAAATTACCGACTTTATATATGTCGCTAATAAGTTAAAATAAATAATGCGGACGCCTTTTAAATAAAATCAATCAAATGATCTACAAGTTCTACAGATGAATGACAACAATTATAAAACTTTAATCTTTTAATAACGAATAATTTAGCAGCAAAAACGGATTCTAAAAAATTATAATAATAATTACAACAAAAAAGAACAACAACAAAAAACTATCTCAGGTTGCCACGCAACCTAAAGTGAAATATTAAAACTCATAAATCTAAAGAAAATTAAAGGTGGCGCTACTGTCAAATATACATACGTTAATGACTTAAAATCTTAAACATACTCCCACCTTGCAAAGTGATATTATAAATAGCACTTTGGAACAAGCATTTAGCATTTCTTTAAAATACAAACTAACTCATGTATATTGGTCTCCTTTATATGAAACTAATTTAAAAAAATATTCAGTCATTATATAAATAACAAAAAGTTCATAAATCTAAACGTTGTGGAATTTTTATGATTCTTCCCAATCTGCCTTTGATAAGAGAATTCACTTCCAAATTATCAGGCACATCAACGGACTTGGGAATATTATCAACTTCCCAGTTAATTTTCTTTGAAGACTTTTCCAGAAAATCCATATCGTTCTTTGCTGATAGCTCTAAAGGATAAAGTCTTTGGAAAGGTCGGATCCTTTCTCCTTGAGAGGTTCTTAATCTGGCTACTCTAGGAATACTGTCCTTTCCAGGATAAAGCTCCAAGACAATTCCAAGAGGCCAATCTATGCGTCGAGCATTATCTTGTCCTATTAAAACAATATCACCGATGTTTATTACATCATTCCTTCTTATTCCCTTGTGCACTAGCTGAGCAAGATATTCATTTCTAAATCTTTGTTTGAGATCTTCACGTAATTTTTGCAAAAATTTTACGCGTTTCAACATAGAGATTCGATTCACAAGATCTAGATCGGGAGTTTCGTTGCTGTTGCTACCCTCCCCGTATATAAATGTTGCCGGAGTTAAAGGTACTAATTCAGATGGATTATCGTGAATGTAGGTCAATGGTCTGCTATTTATAACCGATTCACAGTCACATAAAATTGTAGTTAGTTCTTCATAATCCACGACAGATTTACCTAACACACTACGCAGAAGAGTCTTAAGCATTCCAACTATCCGCTCCCCCCATCCACCCCACCATGCTGCTGTGGGTGGAATAAATTTCCAAATTATTTTCTGAGCGGTTGAGTACACAGCAATCTTGTCCCAATCTAAATTCTTTAAATAATTGTTTGCTCCTACAAAGTTCTTTCCATTATCCGAGTAAATGACCGATATTCTACCTCTTCTTGCGATAAATCGTCTGAATGCTTGAATGAAAGCATCTGTAGTGAGAGACCGTACTAATTCAAAGTGAACTGCTCGGTACACAGCACAGGTAAACAAAACGATCCAAGCTTTTTCATTCGATTTTAGATACAGAGGACCGGCATAGTCCACACCAGACACTTGGAAAACTTTTGTCTGAGTAACTCTTTCTCTTGGAAGGGGCGCAAAAGGAACTTCTACTGGTTTAGCTTGATGACGCTTACAAGTCACACACTTGGAAATAACTTTATTTACTAACTTTTTAGCTTTAAGAATCCAGTATCGCTCTCTGAGTCTTGAGAGTAAGATGGAACGACCTGCATGCATCGCTTTTATATGCTCTTCACGGATTAATTCTAACACAACACTGTTAGCAGGTAAAAGGATTGGACATCTGAAATTCTCATTCTCATCACTATGTACAAGTTTGGTCTTTACTCTCAGAATATCACTTTTATCTCGAAAAGCTTGTATTTTGGCGAGAAATTTATCATCTTGGAAATGCGTTGTTTGCATTGACTTAAAAATCACACTTTCTGCCTTTGTTAACTCCTCACAGATTAAATTTCCCTTCAACTTATCCTGATGTGAAACGTTGTGGACAAAACGTAGGATCCAAGCTACTACTCTTACATTTCTGCTATATGTTGAAAAGTAATTACACCATATTTCCGTTACTTCAATATTTACCATGGAAATAACTACTTGTTTTCTTTTTTCCAAATATACTTCCTCTTCATTAACGGAAATTTCGTCAGCTGCTGCAGGCCATTGCGTGTGGGAAAGATATAGCCAGCTAGGGCCCTCCCACCACTTCGAATTGCCAAGTTGTTGAGCAGAGCAACCTCTACTTGGTAAGTGTGCGGGATTCATAGATCCGGGCAAATGCCTCCATGCTTTTACTGGAGTCAATTTCCTAATTTCTTGAACTCGATTTTCTACAAATACACCCCATGTGTCTTCTCTTTTAAGCCAAGCTAATACAGTTGTTGAGTCTGTCCAGAAATGAACTTTGTCCGTCTGAAACTGTTTTACTATTTCAATAGTAAAACAGTTTCAGACGGACAAAGCTGCAATTGTGGCACCAAGAAGTTCAAGTCGAGCAATCGTTGTTTCCTTTTTCCCGCTAGGTGCGATTCTTGCTTTACTCTGTATCAGGTGAACTTGAACATTGCTTTCATCTTCTATTTTCAGGAAAACTACAGTGGAATACGCAAATTTACTGGCATCACAAAAGAAATGTAATGAAATGCGTTCGTAACCTTTGTCACAATGTAACCACCTTGAGATTTCTATGTGCTTCAGATATTCAAGCTGACTTAGCCACTTTGCAAAATCTTCTCGTGTTTTTGTGTCAACTTCATCGTCCCAACCAATTTTAGCTTTCCACAAATTTTGTAACCATAATTTTGGTCGTAGCGACACAACACCTCCTAGAAAAGAGTAGGCCTCTGCACGGGTTACCATAAATATCCTTTAGTAGTCCAAACGTAATGACATAGATCGTATTTTCAACCACTGCGCAGCTTAATACCCCGAACGTAATGACATCTTTCTTATTTTTCATCAACTGCGCAGTTAACTTCGTCACATCGGACTACTAAATTGATCCGTGCTGAGGCCTTCATACTTCTAGGAGGTGTTGAGCGACACCGGGCTAGTTATCCCCATAGGATCAAAAACTCTGTGTGAGGCAGCTAAAATGCTTCTTTTGGTGATTTTTTCATGTTTTGTGTCTCTCATATCAGGAATATTAATTAACAGAGTATCACTTTGTCTATTCCACTTCATTCCCAGAATATTGGTCTCACTAGAATTAGGTTCTGATGGGTTAGTAGACTCCCACCCTCGTAAATCGAATTGTCTTTCAGCCATAATATTAGTAGCAACTTCTATAAATTGCTTCAGCTCTGATTCAGTTTTCACGCTTGTGAGGCAATTATCTACATAAAAACTGCTTATTAGTTCCTGTATAATCTCTTTAGGGTATTTTTCATTCCCTCCCATTGCTTCCTCTAGTTTATTATTCAAATAGTATTGAATAGTGGCTCCTAGCAAAAACGGACGACAAGAAACACCAAACACAACTCTTCGATGACGAAAATGTTTCAGCTGTCCATCTTCTCCATACCATAAGAATCGCAAGAAATTTCTATCATTTTCATAAAGACTTATTTGCAAAAAAGCCGTACGTATATCATCTGTTACACCAAATTGATATCTTCGAAATTTATTTATCATTGAGGGAATTACTTCTATCAAATTTAACCCCTTTTCTACACAATCATTTAAACTAGGAACTCCTTTTCTCTTAGAAGAAGCATTGAACACGAGCCTGATTTTAGTTGTGCTGCTCTCCTTTATCACAGGTCGATGAGGTAAGTAGTTACAAGGTATTCCCATGTCTTCTTTTGGAACCTCTTCAATTATTTCCTCCTTCTCCCAGTCCTTGAACACTTCTTCATAGGCATCATACAATTTGTCGGTTTTCAACTTGCGTGTCGTCATTTGCAGTCTCTTTAACGCCAAATCATAATTATCTGGCAAAGGCAAATGCCCATCAAGCCATGGTAGACTAACTATAAAACGGCCATCTCCTTCAACTTTCACTGTATTTAAGAAATGTTCCATTGAGGCTTTTTGCAGTTCCTCTCTAGATTTTTGCTCTG